TTCCCCCCCCCCCCCCTTTTGTTGTTGTTGACAGACTGCAATGCGAAGCGTGCGGATCGGATTGAGTAAATTCCCTCTATGTAAAGTGGTGGCACAGAGTTCCCCACGTCGTATGGATATTATGTTTGCACATTAGCTACCCTCGGCTAAAGCTACTGATAATATGCTGACTTTAAGATAATTGAGGACATCTGTCACCGTCTGCAATGTGTCTTTTTACTTTAATTCCATAACACATGATCACAACAGATGTTGCTTCATTAAACATGTATATCGGTTAAGCTCGAGATTTTGGTCTAATTTCATTGTGTTTTCGTGGCTGATGCCATTTGAAATTCATTAGCATAAATGAGGATCCGTTTAGCTGCGTGCTCGTCAACCTTTTTATAGCCAGAGCAGCCCACTTTTTGCCGTCTGTATGAGGCTAACTATTTTCATCCCGCCCACTTGCATGTCGTTGTGTTTCGAAGCGGTTAAAATATGTCACTACCCGTACTATGGTCTCCCCCACTCACCTAACTTACCAAATTCCCCACGAGTGGGTGATATTGCCCAAGCTGGAAAGCAGTGCGCTGATATAGGCCTAATATACATATATACTGTGTGTTCTTTAACGTACCATTGCAGGAATTTTATAATAGCTTGTGAAAATGGGGGATTTCGTAAAGTTCCGGGGGTGTCGTCAGAATCCCTATCTTTCTTTCTAGGATATTGCGTTACTGTATAACCTTATTGTGTTCCTCTCATTCACCTCACCCATGATCCTAATCCCGGTCGGGGTAGAGCTCACCAACAATTATAGCGCGCTCTCCATGTAAGCTTTCTGTCTGGACTAGGATCGAGGTAAAAAATACATCATTGAGTCAAAGATATCCCCTTTCATGCGGAAACATGTTCGATCCTCCTAGATCTAGATCTGCTTCTTGCCTATACCAAAGATCTTATACAACTAAACAGATAGAGTAGCATGTAAGCAAATATCAATCCATCACAATTAATTATCTTTCTTTGTCTTTACGCACATCATTATAATTCTTTATTGCACCAGTCTCCGACGAATAAACGCTTCAGTACCGTTGTATTGATTCAGGAAGGTAGTTATTGGCAGTAAATTGTCGAATCGATAGCCTCTATTTGCCTTCAATTACAAATAGAAGACAGGGTTTATAAATAAACTGTAATAATATGGTAGTCGAGCTCAGCATTCTCGGAAAACCAGATCTGTAACAATAGGCTTATCAAAATTGAGTATTCTTCTCAATCACTCTTGCAAATCGAAAAAGGGCCCATAACAGATTAAATGTGCTAGTTTTCTGACTGCTGTGAAATTTTTCTACTACACGTGCTGGAACTAACCAATTTCCATAATATTTTTCCCTCTGCAGTATCGAACATTGTAAAATAATTATTGTGAAGTCGGCAGTTCCAACTACTACTGTCGTCTGCGATACTGTTATGGCGCTCAGCGCTGAATCAACCAAGTCGAACTAGAGTCTAGACATTGGTATGTTTCTGTGATTTATTGATTGTGAATTTGTAATTGTTATGGATGACATGTTTTCAATAGTTCAAGGGGTATATCAAGAAATATTGGCAATGTCATTACGTTCTCATTCACCTTTTTATAGAGCATGACATTTCTGTTTGTTATTCCCCTTTTCCCTCAGAACAGAAAAAGAAAAGACTGGGCCTTGGACATGGGCATAAAAAATGATTCATTTTAACAGTCTGATGTAATTTTGGCTGATTCTAAATAAAATTGAGAATGTCATTGTCTTTTCCTTACAAAAGGATGCAAATTTGCGTTTTTTGCTCTCATGAGGAAACTGTCCAGAAAGAATGACTGCAGACTGCTGGATGAGGGTTTGCATGATCTTCTGCCTGTCATCAGCTGTTTAGTAGTGCAGAGGAATTTTTTGTTTCACACACTGGTCCACTTAACTTTAACTTGAAAGCAAACGAAATAATGCATTGTTCTCAAGATTTATGAGAACTTAAGAAAATAAAATTATGCTATGCCATAACTTCTCTAGATCTAGAAATAGTGTGTGGATGTCAGCTTCTATTGGACTACCGTACCGTCAACTAATCGTCTAATTAAAGTCCAATTAACCCCTTTTTGTGACACAGGCCCAGGGTCAGTTTCGTTTGTGCTTCACCGGACACAGTTTTGAATCCCCGAAGACAAAGAATAGTGCTAGAACTACTGTGTCTTAAAAAGGAAAAGATTTCTTTGCATGGGAAATTTAGCCTTTCGCTGATAGTGAATCTGCGACGAGTTTTACGAAATGCGTAATTTAATAGAAGCAGGATGAATTCAAAGAATACAATCTATGACGAACAGCATTCATCATCATGGTCCTCGTGCTTCGCAAGGCATGACAAAGGCGTACATCGCAGCAGCGTCTTGGTTTCTTCAGCGTGTAAGAAAAAATGACAAATTGTATTTATGAATTATAGGTCACATAGGGGGGTTTAATCATACACCTAAGGGTAAGACTCTAGATCTAGATCTAGAGTGGCTTAAAGAAAAAATAAAATGCTGCATTTTTTTGCTTGGTGAAAATTTGTTGTTTATTTTAAAAACAACCTCTATACTAAATATGATAATTATTTAATTTCTTTTCAGTGGTCAAGAACAGATTTTAAACGTGTGAATGAAGCTGCTCACACTGTTCTTCAACAAGCTCCCGTAGACTTAATTCAGACATGGGACTTGTGAGGTGAACTCTGAATGAAACAAAACGAAGTTTGAGATGTATCTTCTACCACTAGCTGTATTTTCTTGCTCCTTGAGTGCCACTTGGTCATATCCGGGTGAGGAGCAGCATGAGATCGGAACACTGGCTGGAGATGTCCAGAACTGGGCGATGCTCATTCAGAACTATATCATTCAGGTGTGTGTGGATGTACCGCTGACTTTACTGTAAACTTAGGTCTATTTTACTCTTTCATAATGGATCCTGGGGCAAGAGAAAATGCAACCAAGGGTGTTTCCATTGGTGCTAAACCGTCTTTCTCTAATTGTAGGGGTGGTCGGAGGTGCCACCGGTAGGTCCTACTTCTTTTCTCTCTCTCTTTTTTGTTTCTGTCTTCTTTCTTGCCTTAACTTGGAACTTATAATGAATCGTTATTATAGTGGAAAGAGAGTCGCGAAAGCATCTCAGACAACATATAGAATAGAGAAGTGCCACATGAGCATCCCTGCTGTTGTTACAGGGGTAAAGGGGAGGTGGTGAGAAGCGGGCAAACAGCAGCTTCTTCCATCTTTACTCAAGTCTTCATGCTACATATAATTTTTCTTCTCTTTATTGGTTGAATTACGTATTACTTTTTGCTTATAATGTCCAATGATGTGTTGATCGGCTTAGAATTTTTACTTTTGAGGATAAAACACTGGAGTCCGCTTTAACTGAAAATGGTTACTCCGAAAACAGCGGGAATCTGATTCTGGTATAATATAAAATCCCCGATTGTTTTGTCTTCTTTTTCTCTGAGAAAACTTTAAGTCTAGCTGAAATGTACCCATTTCTAATCCATAAAGAATTTGGGAGGTTGTGTATCAGACCAATTAAATCTTCATTAGCAGCTCTCAAATATAAAGCAAATCATCAAGTCTTACACGTTTCAAGATAGCGAAACAGGAGAAAGAGACACGAGAACACAGGTGTGTCGATTGAAGGCCAGAGATAGACATTACCAGGGTACTGTTTACCAGTTTATCAACATCAATAGGCCTTCCATAGGCCGAATGAAACAAGGAGAGTGAATTTATGTCTGCTGTGCAACTTTCAGTTGGGCATTCCTATTGTCTCTGCGAAGTTAGTTCACAAAAGCCCTACATATGAGCACATGACCAAATGTGAGTGTTGTTGAGCTTTCTCACTTCTCTGGACGAGTGCAGAGCACAGTACAGTGTGCTAATCAACTCTTTATTTGGTCTGTTGTGTGTGACTATTTTGAAGCTCAAATTGCAGTTACTAAAAGAGGTCGACCCAGGTGAGAAAAAAACAAACAACTTTCATAATGTGAAGTTGCTGCAAGCATGGCGTTCCCAACTCTACGCTGTCGACAGTCATCGTTTTTTTGAGCAACCTCTCTAAACTGAAAACATGATTGAACCAAAAAAAACCAGTAGTCCGGCTAATTTTGATTTAGGCAGACTCCACAGTATTTAACACTTTGCGGTCACTTGGGACAATAATGTGACGGTGAAAATGATTTGTTCTGGTCACCTGGCACACTTATGTGTTAGGCCCGAGAAGTTGGTTGCAGTCACTCTCCTGACTGGGTGGGGGTATTTTGTACTGCTGGCTGTGTTACTGCAAAGGGTTTATGATATTCTTTGCCATCTTCTTATTTGGATTTCCATGCATATATATAGGCTTTGAAATCTTTCTTTTTCAATCTTTACTTTAAAAAAAGATTGTTTATTAAGTTTTTAAACATGCATACCTAGGTTTAATAAGATCGAGATAATTATAATGGTTTTTTTTTACCTGTTTATTAAAATTTTTGTTTGTTTGCTCCTTTTGTTTTGAAGCTTGCAAATGATGGTATAAAAAGGGACTTCACTCAGAGCTTTTTGGACCAAGCCAATTACATCTCGGAGAAAAAGGACGGCGGGGACCTTGTGCAGCTTGTGAAGGATACCTTGGGAGACTATTTTGAAAAGAAGAAAAGAGCAGCTCAGGTTAGTTTTTGGGTTTGTTTTAAAACTTGATTTATGTCGTGGCCTTTATGTAGTAGTAAGTGTGTATTTTTATATAAAGAACATGTTTCGAGTGTCCATAATGAAAATAAAGATTGTTTTGAGGTTTAGATAATGCAAATTCCCAAGAGCTGATGTAGAAATCAAGGAATGTACTCTCCTTTTGTTACATCCTCTACCCGAACCAAGGATCAGACATTTATTGTTATGAAGAATTGAAATATTACAGTTTCTTTCTTAGCAGCACCTCATTCCACCCACCAAGTGGTAATATGAAATAAAGTTTGAAAAATTGATGTGGTCATATCAAACGAAGAAGAACCAACTAGAGGCAATTGCGAAAACATTGTATAAAGGTAAAAACATCACTTTCTTTTCCCCCGTCTTGCAGAGGCTGGCTGGAAAGGTTCGAGAAGTGTATGATGAATATTACGACAAAAATGTGAGCACGAAAGCAGAAACTTTGAACGATCTTCCGCCTGATACCTACTATGACTCGGATATACCTGATAAACTGCCGAAGGATCTTGTTTTCAGCCCGTAAGTATTCAAAACTTTCAATTGTGAGTTCATTGTTTTATTTCTTCATTCAGTTTTTCAAGTGCTCATTCATTCTTTCATTTGATGTTTTTTAGTACACATCATTCTGCAACTTTTTATCTCTGACTGTATTCATGAACATGTTGTTTATGACTCTATTTTGTCTTTCTCACCCAGCTACTTTCGTCAGAATGTGAGTACCCTGAACTCAACAATCAAAATTGCAGATGAGGTACCAAGAGATGACCCACACGTCATCGACGTTGTTTTGTTGACACAGAAGTTGGAGGATACGTTTATTCAGAATGCAAATGAAGACCCACTTTTAAGGTAAGATGAGTCATGCTGCAGATTGATACGTAATACGAAAAACGAAAGGTTCTTCTTTATGCGAATGACAAGTCACTGTCATGGGGTGGTGAGTCATTCAACAGAGTGTGACATGAGAAGCAAAAACATCTGGATATTGTAACAAGATTGTGGTAATGTTACTGAATGTCTGTGTGGCTTTTCAAAATTTGATAGTACTTGCTTACAATATGAAGTTGAAAAGCAGTAAATCTAAATGTTGTGGTTGGATAATGGTAAATGTGTGTGGGGATCAATGTATGTTATTTGATAATACTTGCAGAATGAGTTGACCTGTTTGTGCTTTTCTAAGCTCTTCTATCACTTTCCATAATTTTAAAACTGAAACGTATATATGGTTGTCAGAGTTATAAATTGACCTTCCCTAGTTATGTTTTCGACCTGTTTATTCTGGATACTTAGACAGTGGAACATCATCTGTTCTTCTGTAGAAAACTAACTGATTTAAGGGGATGTTTTCTTCCCAAGCTACCCCACACATCTAATTGCCTCTACTCCTCAAGAAAACAATTAAAACAAACATGAAACTATTACCGAATGGCATCATGCAGAAGAGTTTACGCTCAGATGCTACTGGATCGCTAACAACAACATTCTGGATACTTAATGCACTGGCTTTAGGGTTCAGCATGGAGGTAATGGTTATGTCACTTGCTTTGTTGTCTTCGTGGTCCTAGTGTCTGAATGCTGGAGAAATTTTTTTTCTTTTTTTCCTTGGGGAATTTGAATAGTTCTCTGCTGCTGGCTTAAGTTTGGTGCAGACAGATGTGGAAATGTTAATGTAGCAGCTGCCTCTGAAACAGCTTAACGATGTTTCGAAAGAGGCTTTATAAATGCACAACCACTCTGATTTATAATAAATTAGCAATATACTCTTACGCCTGTATACTTTTTGGTTCTCAATCAAAGCGGGGAAAGTACTTTGTTTCTGCACTGCATTGCCTCTTCTCATATATTAGTTTAGTTTAGTTTTAGTAGGGGTTTTTCGGCGCTTGCAACTGCATAAGGTCATATGAGCGCCAGAAGATTAGAGCTGTTACAAGAGAGTAACAAACATAAAAAAGATGAAGGGGAGATAAGGACGATAGATGTTTGATAGGAAAGAAGAAGCAAACCACACCAGAGCACCCGCCAACCACCCACCTTCTCATATATGTCTCCTTCTGTATCAGTTAAATTTGAGTAAGAGTGTTACCATCCAGAATATACAAGTAAAAGCAACCAGCACTTGCAACACAAATAAGATCATATAAGTGCTGAAGATAAGAGGTGTTACCAGAAAGTACCATAACATAAAGAATTGAAGGAGAGATAAGGACGGTCTAGATGCTTTATAGGTGAAAAAGAGCAAACCACACTAGAGCACTGGTCAACCATTCACACACTGTGTATCTAAATCATCTGTTACTGAATTTTCTGTTTTTGAAAAGCCTTACATTGTTTCTAGGGTGGGGGGGGGCGTTAAAAAACAATTTTATGGTGCTTTCATATTTTTCAGAACATATTATTTCTTTTTGGAAAGGAAATAAAAATATGGTTGAAGCTGCCCTGTCCAATACAATCACCTGTACAAATGACAATTTTCCTCAGCCCCCCTTCACGTAAAAAAATGGAAAAAAAAAAAATCATTTTGGCTCTGTCCAAGATGTTCATCTCTCGAAGACAACCACTTTTCTCATGGACAATGGATGGTTGTCTTAGAGAGTTTCGACTGCATATTGGTATCTGGTCATTAAACGAAGGCAACTTCAGGAATCTTTTGTTTGATAGATAATCGAAATAATAAGAAAAGCCATACTTTGACAATCACGCCCATGTCCCCTTGCAGGTGGCAGTATTTTGGTTCTACAACGGGAGTAACCAGGTTGTACCCAGGCCGTGAATGGTCCACCAACTTTGCCGGGTTCTACGACGATTACGATCCTCGGGTCAGGCCCTGGTACATTCAGGCCACCAGCGGCCCAAAGGATGTCATTATCATCCTTGATTGCAGGTATGGATTTTTGTTTGAAATTAATGCACGACAATTTAATTCATGCAGTCTTTATGCAGGTACCTTTTTAAAACGCAAATTAATTCTCTATAATCTAATGTATCCTATGTGTCTTGTTAAAGCAATGGAGCCTCTGAAATTCGACCCAACAACTTTGATCCTACTTTTCATATATGACAGAAGCTTATTTTCTCATACAACACTGCTGTCATGACTACGTTGCTGAGGCTGGAAACCTGTTAACTTTTTGGAGATCTGTTTAAACAATCTGCCCAGGTGTGCAAAGATAGATCGAATTGAGATTCTGTATGATAAGATTTCTCGATGTGGCAGGTCTGTCACTCAGTCTGATGTAGGCCCCAGTTATAATGCTGGTGCTAATACAGGAATCAATGTGAAAATGGAGTGGTAAAAAAACTGTTACTCTGACTCCAAGAGCTTATATCACTGCTTAATCACTGAGGCATGCCAGATGTGTGGTATTTTTTGGCTTACTTTCTGTATCAATTGCCAATTTGCAATTCCATTACTGAATCATTTTGAATACATTGACATTGATAATATTTAACTCTTTACCTCTGTGGGGAGGGGGGGAGGGGTGAACCCACTGTGCCGGGCCCTTTCTTTGGTACTAAATCTAAAAATGACAAAATCGTCACCAAATGGGTCATTTAAATAAAAACAAGTGAACCTATATAGATAGTTCATCAAATGAATGAACTTTCGGTGAAAGAGACCTGTTTTTGGCAATTGCTGGAAAGCATTTTGATGTCGAAGTAGTTGTAAAAGAATCTGCCCTAGCCGCTGTCAGCGGCTCACAGGCACAGAGTATCTGACCGCGAGCCGCTGGGAGCGGCTTGCAGGAGATAAAGAGTTAAACATAACTTTAACTTGCGTCAAACTTGCGTCAATTTTGACGCAGTGAAAGGCAATGTTCTGTCATTTTGTAGACAGAACCAATATCATGCATATATATACACGTCTGTAAAATTGCATTTACTTTCTGAATTTGTCTTGTACAGTCTGTCTATGAAAGGTGAGAAGTTTTCCATAGCGAAAGCCGTGGCCAAGACAGTCATCAACACGTTGACGAAGCAGGATTATGTCAACGTGATCTGTGCCAGGAACAGCCATTGGAATGAAGTGGGAAAGTAAGACTGAAATGTCTATTGGTCAGATTTATTGACTTGTTGCCTTACTTCAAAGAGAGCAAGTTTCAGGATGTAGTTTTTTGGTAGTATTACGCAATCATCCTGGTGCTTTTACTCTAGGTAAAGTTGCTCCATGTTAGTTATTTGCTTTAGTAGGCTACATGTCATCTAAAAATAAATATGTGTCTGTATTTTTACAAAGCCACATGACAATTTTTTTTCACACATAGTTCATGGTCCTGTTTATTTGTCATGAACATTTCCCTGGTTTATTTGCCATTTTATAGCTACTGCCGGCAAATGATTGTTGTTTTGTAGACCAGAGAGGCTAATGGGAAAGTACGTCTTGTTAATTGTCTGTCCATTATATATAGGTTATCACTTAGCAGAATGGTGTCACATAATGATCAATGATGATTGCTTTTGTAACCGAGTTTAGCGTGTACAAGTCAATGCACATGATTCATTCATGGAATGGAGGATTTTTTTTTTTAATCAGGGATAAACACAGTTTGAATGAAAATCATGTTTACAGAAAAAAGCTTTTATAGCTCGCTTGTTTGTAAAAGCAATGCTCTTTATAGAAGCTGTTGGCAGTAACTTTGTTTTATTGGATAAAGCTGTTGGCAGTAACTTTGTTTTATTGGATAAAGCTGCTGGCAGTAACTTTATATTTTATTGTATAAAAAGCCTTTCCTTGATTCTCAATAACCCGTGAATGTGAATGGAAAACTAGCAAATTTGGTTTGTTTCCCTTCTTTTGAATATGAAGGTATTGTGAAAAATGTGTCTTTTTAAATTACTTGTTGAAAAGGTATGGGCCGAGCCCTGTCAATGCTCAGGGCACAACTTCAGTTCATACCACTGCTGTATAACTTCAGTTCATACCACTGCTGTATAACTTCAGTTCATACCACTGCTGTATAACTTCAGTTCATACCACTGCTGTATAATATGGGCCGAGCCCTGTCAATGCTCAGGGCACAACTTCAGTTCATACCACTGCTGTATTAAGGACCCATTGGATGTTAAAACAAACTTTTCATTTATTTTATTGCTTGACCCTGATATTCCTGTAATGTAAATCACTCTGTTATATTGTAAAGTGCATTCGAGGTCTCATCAAAGATTTTGATGATTTTAATCAGAAGCATCCTGAAATGAAAATCCACCTGTGTCAGATCCATCATTAATGTGATGTCACTGTGGGGAACAACTTGCACATTTTTATGTTCAACTGCCATCTCCTTTCACTGGTAAATGTGGACAAGTAAATTGTGGGAAGTCTACTTGCAAACCTAACTTGATGTAAATATGGTATTGTTGAATGTTTTCTCCCTCATTTTGTGTGATTTTTCTTGGATTATAGT